GATATTGTTATACCTACTTCTATCCCTAAAGGCGAGGAAGGAGGTTTTTCGGGGCTGCACGGAAAACGACAACATCAAGGAGACAGGAATGTATTGGAGTGCCCAGTTCTTCATCTCATTGTTTCAGAGTTCTTCCTTTTCCCAGTGCTATTACCTACTGCTTACTTTGCATCCAGGAACCATGCTTTCAAAAGGCTTTGATTTTAATAGGATTGTTGGCATCTTTCTTAATTATTTTAGAGGTCTGTATAATAAATGTCTCTTCAGCAAATTTTTGTTTGGGAGCAGTATAACAGATGTATATCCTTAAATTAGGGAAGTAGAGTAAGGTATCCTTATATAAGTCTCTGAAGGGAAATTCTTTTTTTGTTTTATTTTGTTTTTGTTTTTCTTTTTTTACAACCATCCTATAAAAAGCCTCTGACTTTGGGCTATTAAAATGTGAAAAATGCTTTTGACTTTGGACTATATAATTTTATAAAAATTTGCACTTAGGCATAAAATGTAGGCTTGAAATTAGCTGACCTAACAAGACCTTAGGCTGAACTCTTTGATTTCTATTGGTGTTTATTTGGCTCGCAGCATAATTTTTCCTCCTTGTCCTCCTCTTGCTTTCTCAATTTTGTAAATTTTGACAGCATAGGAGATTTGTAATTCCCTTATGGCAATGTAGGCACATGCAGTATTTGGAGATGAAGCAATGTGAGACATTCTGTTAGGTAGGTTATGCCAACTATTAAAATCTTTTATTTTTTAAAAAAAGATAATGGCAGACTCCATATGAATAAAAAATGCAATGGCTTCAATTAACTTCAAATCCTGTCAAGCTCTGTCTATTGTGTACATCTCATTTTTTTAGGAGAAAAAAAATCTCATCTTTAAACCTTTTTAAAGTGGTTAACAAGGATAATCCAAGAAAAAGTTGTTTTTATAAGCTCAGTGATAGAATGCTGGTCTGGCCTGGTCGAGCTTTGGGATATGAGGAATGGGAAGGGCGTGTGATTGTAAAATGTGAACTAAAACAGCATTTGTCATCTTCACTGGAAATATTTGAACTGAATTAATGCTTGTTCATTCTAAGCTAGATTTTCCAGTTTAGAGACTTAAGCAAAGTATCTTTTTTTTTTAAATTGTTTTGCAGTAGTCCTACTGTGCTGTTCAGGTTTGTCTCAAACTCCTCAAATAAGCCTCGTGGCTCAGCTTCTCAAGTTGCACCTACAATCCTGTGCCTAGCTTGTTTATTTTTAAAACCATTTTCATTTGTTTCTGTGTCGCTTCTAAAATACTCATATATCTAAATAATATTATTGGTGATAGGAATGAGCAGTAAATAAAATGAGATAACATACTTCTATAGATTATTTAGATATCAAATATCATCTTAGCTTACATCCTTTGAATTATATTACTACTCCATCATATTGAAAATCTGTCTACTGAGTTGAGGTGGCAAACATTCTCGTATTCTATTTAATTTTCAATAAATGATCACAGCGAAAAATGTTTTTCAATAAAGTCATATAGCACTGTTTTCACACAATAGCATCTTTCCGATTTTTTCTTGGCATTTTAAGGATTATAAAATATATTAAATATGATTTGTATGATGCCTGTAATATAATTTTATTGGATCATATAGGAAAACATCAGGGGGAGTATACTGTCTATAGTTATCTTAGGTTTGGGAAAAGCAAGTAGGTTAAGACTCATCAAAGTTTACAGAGCTAGTTATTGAGAGTCAGAAAAGGAACTGAACCATTCTATCATGCAAAATATATTTTATTTTTCTGACATATTGGTTTCTTATGATCAGTACTAGAGTGTGAACTCAGGGCTTTCTCCTGCTGTGTGGTACTCTACCACTTCATTATGTCCCCAAACCTTTCACATATCCTTCACAGAATATTTCAGATCATTATAAAAACTAAAGACTTGTAGAAAAGCCCAGTGCTGGTGGCTCACACCTGTAATCCTAGCTGCTCAAGAGGCTGAGATCTGAGGTTTGCAGTTTGAAGCAATGCGGGGCAGGAAAGTCCATGAGACTCTTATCTCTAATAAACTACTCAGAAAAAGCTGGAAGTGGTGCTGGGGCTCAAGTTGTAGAGCACTAGCTTGGAGCACAAAGAACCTCAGGGACAACACCCAGGACTGGCAAAACAAAACAAAACAAAAACAAAAAATGTAGAAAGTAAACGTTTTTTCACAAAACCCAATGTTTCATATTCATGGCAATTTATAGATCAACAATGACCCATTCTTTGGTATATGTTAGGCTAAAAATGTAGGCCATAGACACTAACATCTTTTGTGTAAATGTATTGTATTTACAAATATTTCTATTGTGATTGTTTTAATTACCTTTCCCTTTCTGACTCTTCAGTGTGTGTGTGTGTGTGTGTGTGTGTGTGTGTGTGTGTGTGTGTGTGTGTGTGTGTGTGTGTGTGTGTGTACTGATTCTGGGCTTGAACTCAGGGCCTGAGTGCTGTCCCTGAGCCTTTTCTTCTTAAGGCTAAATAACACTCCATTATTTGATCCACAGCTCCACTTTCAGCTTTTTGTTAGCTAATCAAAGAGTCATGGTCTTTCCTATCTGGGCTGGCTTCAAACCTCGATTCTCAGATCTTAGACTCTTGAGTAGCTAGGATTGCAGGTGTGAGCCACAGGCATCTGGCTTTGACTCCTCAATATTTCTCTTTTAGCTCAAAATATGATTTTGGATCCAGTTATACTAATTAGAAATCCCAGATTAAGTCTTTGCCAAGGTAGTTGCAATATAGACTCTTCATTTAATATGTTTGATTTATAATTTTCAATGTAAACTCCTATACTCTTACTCCTTTCCTCTGAAATTACTGTCAATTTCTGTCACTCCCAAACAGGAAAAATATACTTCCTCAATTACACAGAATTTGTTTACCATTTAGTTTTTCCTAATGTGATTTTGACATTCTGTAATAGTGTCATTTGTCACATGATATTTGAATTTCTTTGATAATGTTAACATTTTAGATTTATTTTTTTCTGGGAAAAACTTTAAAATAAGAATTATGTTGAAAATGTACACCTTAAAGATATCTATCTGTTCAGTTTTATTTGGCCATTTAAAAATAATACTTTTTTTCAGAAGAGGAGACTCGTACTGTGGCTGGAATTCAGGGTCTCACAGCCTTGCTTGGTTTTTCACTCAAGGCTGGTGCCTCAACAATTCTGAACCACAGATCCTCTCCAGCCCTTTTCTGATTAATTAGAGATAGACAGATAGACAGACAAATCTGGATATCTATCTATCTATCTATCTATCTACCTACCTACCTACTTGTCTATCATCCATCTGTCTATCATTTATCTATCTCTAATGTATATTTTTACACAGCTCATGTAGTTGAACTTGCTATTCTCCTGCTTTAAGGCCTGGGAGTATAGCTGAGTCTTCTTTGAATTTCAATACTTTTTTTCTTTAATCTAACCAATTACTCTTGAAATGGTCTCTTTTGCTTTGTTCTCTGATGTATAAATATGACATTATAAATAGAACTAAAGGTTGTGTGTTCCACTAAAATACAATTGACTCTTAAAGTTGTATTAATAATATAGTATTAAATTATGTTTTCCTTTATACCTTGAATTTCTAAGAATTTACATTTGATTAATAAATTTACCTCATGGATTTATATAGAAGTACATCAGTCTTTATCAAACTTTTGCACAGTACTCAGATAAACCATGATTAATGTATTCTACATTGTATTAATAAATACTCTAAAAAACAGCATTTACTGGTCTGCAAAATTTTGCATTTACTATATATCTCACACACAGGATTTTGCAAAAATACATTTGCATATTAATGGATCTAAGAGGCTTTATAGTAAAAATAATAATACAGATGATGGAGTTAAGCCAAATATATTTTCTAAATAGTTTGAGAAATACCCAAATATAATGCATTGTGTAACTTAGTTTATTAATGGAAAATGTTACATTGTTATATCAGTTATTGATATATTAGTATTGTGCTACAACCCAGTACTACAAAAGAAATATCTTCTTGCTTTTTCTCTTTTTCTAAATAAGAATTTAGACTGTCTTATGCTAAATGTTTTTAAATTATAGGTTGGAAACTAGATAATCAATAAATTTTGGCCATTCCCCCATATAAATGAAAACCTTTTAATACATTTAACATTAAATGTAAAACAAAATCTTTTAAAGACCTTTCTTTCCTGTTGACTTTTTTTCATAATCTTTATATGCATTGTGAGCTACTTTGGGCTCCTTGCCAGCATCTCTCATTACTTCCCCCTGCCCCCTGAATATTCCTTTTTAAACTGAGCCTTCAGAAGCCCTTCTTCTATCCTGTGTTTAGACAACCCAGTTTACTCTCAGTGTTTCCACATATGACAGCAAATAAAAATGTGTGTCAACTTGTAAACTATACCTCTCCTATGAGACATATTGACATTTCAATATGGAACAATCCCTGAGTCTCACAAGACAAAAGTCTTGTATAGAGTAATTCCATCCTCCATCATGTTCTTTATTCTATTCATTACCACAGGCTCCAGGTGAGTCCTCTTGCCGGCTAGAGGAAGGCTGAGTAGTTATGGGTCCCAAGTCTTTTGCATTGAGCTTTTAGGAGTGACTAAGAAAAAAAAAAGGTACAAGATAACTATATCCTTAGTGTGAGAAACTATACTAGCACCAAAAAGCAAAGTCTTTTCTATACTAACTTATGTGTCAATCTGCCTTTTGTGATACATGAATGGTGACTTGGATGACTTTGTCAAAAGTGTCTTTCAGGTCTCTTTTCCACCGATAGATGTGATTTCCCACATATTGATGATTTCTACTAACCACTGCTATTTTTACATTCTTCTAGTAGCCCTGGACCATTTTTGTATTCTATATCGGTTTCTAGAGCACTCCTGCATATCAATGTATTTGATTGCTTGCAAAGATCCCTACCAAAACAGTAAGCCAGTGCCTGTGTTTGCCCACAGGGGTGCGTCTTGACAGAGTACGCGGAGGTCGGCAGAAGTACAAACGCAGAATAGATGCAGAGAACAGCCCCTACCTGAACCCTCAGCTGGTTCAGCCAGCCAAAAAGCCATGTAAGTACAGCAGATGTGTCTGGCTTGCCAGAACACAGACTCTTCCCACTTGGCTTTCTGTACATACACCAATGTTGGCACGCTCACTCTGACTCTGAGGAGACTTCTTTTTGTCGGAGAACAGTGGGAATAGAGATTCCAAAGGATTGTCTGGGAGGTGTAATGACAACTCAACTAATTGCCTTGGTTTTTTGGGTTTGGTTTTGGTTTTTGAGAATATCTCTGATTTTTCTCTCCTCTACCATTTGCATCTCTCATCATTTTGTGGAGGTGTAAGCATATTAATGCATCACTTAGATAGTGTGGATTTTACATTTACTGGTTATCTTCATTTGCAGAGGTACATAAAATGGATCAGGCTGTGATCATTAGTTCATTCATTGGAGCTGTTCATTTCAGATTTCACAAGAAAGTGATTTTTGTAGTTTTCACTAACCAAATGAGTTTGACTGCTCAACCTCCCAATGAAAATACATTAGTGGCCTCATTAATTTTAGAGGTTAACACACAAGCTAGCAATAGATTAAAACATGAATGGACACTACTAATAACAAGCATAAGTTGGCAGTTCCCTCTCAGATACCGTGGGTACTATGAATTGTTTTTAAAGATCTCATGGTTTTATAATACCAGGTCCCAGTTTTTGAAAGGGTGACTGAAACATTGCTAAAATACAACCCTCATTCTCCTTGGCATTACGCAAAAGGATTAGGGATACAAATTCAGGCAATAACTTTATCTTGTTTTTCTGAGGAATCGGTTAAAAGTTGTAGTGCAGCAGAACTTGCAATGTAGATTGTTTATGCATAATAGACACTGGGAAATGCTTTGGTAGGAAGATTCCTGTTAGTTCTTCCTGTCACAGAGACACAAGCCATATTCAGCAGAGGAATTAGCCTCTAGAGCAATTCTAGAAAGGGATAAGGGTAATTTTGGTTGTACTTTTAAGTGAATAGAAAGGGTCCATGTCTAATTCTGATTGTCCAGTAGGGGTCACTGCTGTGCCCCATCCCCGTGAGCATATGGAAATCTGTTAAATAAATAAAGCAGACCCTGCACTGTAAATGAAAGGACATTTTAGCTGTGTCAAAGGAAAAACAACCAGTTTTACATAAAATTAAAGCTTAAGTGAACATATGGCTTAGTTTCCTCTTGCCTTTCCAAAAAACATTATGTTGATTATACCTTCAATTGTCCAATCTGGCATCTCCTCCTCAGCCTGCATAAGCTGTTTGGAATTCTGCAAATACAATCTAGGGCTGCATTAAGCAGATTTTGCACATTATAATAAAAAAAAACTTTCTGATAATACAATAAAATGCAATAAGCACTAATGCTTAATTTCATTAGAGGTTTCGTTTCCTCGACTCAGTCATATACAGAATGCCCATTTCTCATTTATTTTATGCAAACATTGACTGCAACCATTGATAATTTCCTCTGTGGAAAGAAAAATGAGCACCAGCCCATTTGTAAGTCAACATGATAGAGGAATATCTATCGTTTTCTGTATAAACCTGAAAAATTGGGAAGTGGCTTGTCAAGTACCTTTAAGAAGATTACAGCAATTTCAGTGAGCTCCATTTGTCTGAGATAAAGAGGACTCCTAATAAATCATTACTCATTATCTAAAGGCCTCTGTGTTAATTTTCTTTAGTCCATCCAATTAGTGTGTTTTTGTAACAAACATTTATAAAACTTAATTTTCAGATCCTGTCAGATAAGTGTCAAGAGACTGTACATGGGGTTTTTCTGAACAGTGGCTGGGAGGATTCTGTACCCTGACTGATTATTTGTACACCACAAAGGCCCAAGAATGAAAATCGGGTTCTATTGATTCTAATTAGGCAAACATTAAATAAGATTTACCTAGAAATAGCCCTGCTGGCTATTCCATTTTCTGAGCGATGGGAATTCCTAAGCTTCTGCCCAATTTCTCAGACCCCTCAAGTCAAGTATCCATTGATGAGTAAAACAGGACACATTTTCCCGTGCTTATTAAAAAAGAAGAGTCCTAATTTCCTTTGATTACATTCCTGTTCATTTTCCTATTATTTTTTTCCCCCTAATCCTGAGGGTCGAGTGGTGCTGCTAGGGGGTTTTGGTATATTTTCAGAACCGTGAAAGTTGAAACTTTTTAAAGCATAACTAAAAGTATAAGCGTTGATTTTGTAGTATACACAATAATCATACACTTTTCTGTATGGATCCTGCAGTTATTACACAGAAGCTATGTAATCTTTTTTGGCATTTTTATACATTTTATTTATTGTCTTTTTTATATATGTTTTTTATTGTAAAAATACTGTACAGTTACATGAGTTACATAAATACTGTTACAGTTGCATGAGTTAGGTAATGAGTACATTTCCTATTGTGCATTGTTACCTCCTCCTTTGTTTTTCCCCTACCACCTCTTCCCTCCCCATTTCCCCAACTCCTCTCTCTCCTGTCTCCCCCCCTGAAGTTGTAAAGTTCATTTTCAACATGGTGTCTTGTATATCTCATTGTTATAATGGGTCAACCTGTATCCTTATTTAAGTATTTTGTTATTTTCCTTCCCCTCCCCAAATTATAAAAATGTACATATAAGATACAGGGCACCGAAATCAAATACAGTGAAAACAGGGGTTATACTGTGGGGAAGAACATACAAAAGAAACAAAAAAAAATCACATAGTACATTATAAATACATTAAAAACAATAGCAAGAAAGAAAAAAAAAACACTTGTGTCCCTATCTAGGGGTTCATCGACTTGGAAAAATTATATTAAGTGAAGTTAAGCCAGGCCCAAAGAAACATAGGTCCCATGATTGCCTTTATTTGCAGTAACTAGTATATGTCTAGGACAAGCAGAAAAGGTCAAAAGCTATGTACATATGACCATATAAGATGATGTTAAGTGAAATGTAATCTTTTAAAAATTATTGAGAAGCTATATTATTTTTAGTATGGTTTTTTAAGCTAAAATGGTATCTGGGGGCTGTTTCCTGCCAAGTCATCATATTCAACTGAAAGATCATTGAATATTACAGAAATGAGTAATTATCTACTGACAATTTGAAAAAAAATACAATTCATAAGGTTATGTTAATAAACTTGACATATATATTGCTAGTTGTAATTTGGATAAGTCTCATTGTTTACTTATTGGAGGACTAAAAAAAAATGCCATTTTTGCTACTATGAACTGTTGTGATTTTGCATTTTAAAAAGTTATAAACTTTTACAGCAAAAAATAAATACATAGTCCATGGAGGAAACAATGGAAACTTTGTTCACAAAGATCTCTGGCAAATTGTATATTGAAATATGTGGGTTTCTTCTTAGTTCCTCAGTTAGAAGAAAACATAACATCTAAAGCTTTGTATAGAGATTGAAAATCAGCCCAAGGAGGAAAAGCATTTTGTTAGCTTGGCTTTACAACCCGTCCATAAAACTCTCACATGCCCCTGAGCAGTGAAACACATTTGATATGATGCTCTTCGTTTGTCTCTAGTGTTTATTTTATGAAGGATTTTTAAAACATTTATCACAAATTTCAGACAGATAAATCTAAACCAGAGAATGAACTAGGGACAACAGATACCACCAGAGGATTAAAGAATTAGGTGCTCAGAGGGGAGATACTATAGCACATAAGTAGGAGTATTTTTATGAGATTGGCTATATTTGGAAGGTTGGGTAGATGTGTGGGGAGAAAGGGAAAGGAAAGAAATTCCTATTTAATGCATCCCACAGAGATAAAGTTATATGGTTAGTAATTCACCCAGACAGAAGGGCTCTGACCTTTGCTCTTTAAGGAGTTAAGACAATTAATGGCTTTTATACTCATTATGTGTGTGGGCATTGGTAGCTCTTTGCCTTCCCATGATAGTCCCATAGTTCAGTAGTTTACTGTGGGGTTTTGTTTTAGAGCTGCTGGGTATTGTTTTATTAGCATTCCCAAATCTCACTTAAGAATGAAAAATCAAACCCAGACAATATCTAGTATCTCTTCCCTGTTTGCTACAAACAAAACAAGCAAAAGCAAAAACAAAACAAACCTCCAAACAACCACCGAACAACAAAAACAAAAAACTTACTATGGGGTAGTTGCTTCATTCTAGCCAAAACAGAGTAAGCCAAAGAGAAAAGCATGCATTCGATCAGGTCTGCTGCACTTTGCTTTCCGACCTGATTCTTTTCCCCTGAAAACTGTTTAACACAGGCATATTGGACCATAAAAGGAATAGTCTGAGTTAATTGTTGAATATTTAATTTTTTTTATAAGCACGAAAGTGCTGTAGGGCTTGTGAAAGAGAAGAATGATGCTTGTAGTGATCTTGAAATGTTCTGGTCTGATCCTGCAGATAACAAGATTGTCTCACATTTGTTGGTGGCTGAACCGGAAAAGATCTATGCCATGCCTGACCCTACTGTCCCGGACAGTGACATCAAGGCCCTCACTACACTGTGTGACTTGGCCGACCGAGAGTTGGTGGTGATCATTGGATGGGCGAAGCATATTCCAGGTATATTTAAAACCACCACAACAAAAAGGTCATAGTGAATTTCCTGAGTTATCCATGTAGATTTGGGCAGATTCAGATTTACTTATAGGATTCCTTAAAATCTTGACTTAAAAAAAATCATGCTTAATTCAGAGTTTTGCTTACACACACACACACACACACACACACACACACACACATGTATAGCACCTTGGGTTTTGGTGAATTATATTTTTATATATGAAGGCATTAGTTCTTACAAGATATTGAAAAAAGACTTTTTAAAAACATATGCTTATTATTTTTAAAATTCTGAACTTTCTTTTTTCTTGACAAATAATGCTGCTTTTTCTTGTAACTTTAAATGTTATTATTGTGAGCAGTAGATAAGACACTTTTTTTTTTGCCCTTGTAGGAATTTCTCATTGTATTATTTATTGGGGCTGATTCTAATGAATTGCTGTTTGTATTTATACGTTTGCCTTGGTTTCCAATTAGGTATTTACTATGCATTTATAAATTCATATATAAACTATTTTAAAGAGCGAATCTTAAACTGAGATGGTAAAGTTTCTCATATGGTGATATAGAATTAGTATTTCAAAAACAATCTATTCTTTCTTTTCAATAAACATATGCATGGTCACGAGTTTGAGAATTTTAGTATTCCACTTGAATTAGTTTTCATTTATTTGGACTTTGATCTTCAAATACTTTCTAAACAAGTTTTGAGTGATGAGCAGTATTTTTCTGGTACAGTTAACTTACTTCTGTCTCCTTAAACTAGTTTGTCTTTATGCTTTGAATGCTACAGTAATTTCTTTAATCAAATTGATGGAAGTCCCTTTCCCAGCCCACACTGAAACCAATTTATTGGTCATGATACGCCAGCTATGTTGCTAACAGTCGTAACGAACTGTCAGGCGATATCGCAGTGGAGCTAATTTGAAGTCATTAGGTGTGCAGCGTTCAGGCGACAATTTGTTTCAGTGGTTAGGAACACAGCTGACATTTCTGAATGGCTTTGTTCCGTGCAGTTCTAGATGAGGCCAAGCAAATTGTAAACTAATTTAAACATCACTCTGTATTATACCAGCTACTTTGTCTTACACTGCTTGCTAATAAAGCACCCCAAATTAAGTCAAAACTAGTTAAATAGGTGAGCTTGAGTGCATTCTTTAGAAAATACCCTCACAGGGTTAGTACATCTCAAGGAAGGATGGAAACTGGATTATGTGCAGGGGTGATAGGACATCTGGATTGTAACGAGCTATGTGAGTTAGACACATGCATGTTCTAAAGAATGTTATAATATTTGGGAACTCTGGCTGTGTGGATGACTAAAATTTGTACTTGAGAACAATGTCAGGAAAGGGTTTAAGAGAAGAAAGAAAAAAAACTAATATCTGTTACAGTATCCAAAATATTTCATTAAGTAGTTTACATATATATGTATATATACACACATATGTTTGTACCATATGTCATTGTGATGTTTTGTATATATACATAAAACATGTATACACAAGTCACACGCATATATATACATGTATGTATATATAATAGCAGCTAAATATATGATATATTACTATATATTGCTATATGTATTACTATGTATTACTGTATGACTATATATTACTATTAATTATATATATGAAATATATACATATACTATACTCTATATAGAATAATATTCTATATAGAATAATAACTATATATAGTTCTATAATAACTATATACAGAATATATATAATACATATTCTCTGTATAGTATATATAATATATAATATAATAACTATATAGAGTATATGTAATAACTATATAGTTTATATTCTATATATTATTCACATAATAACAATTATATACAAAATAATATATATAACATATATAATTTATAATAATATATTACATATTATAACAATATATTGTTACTATTCTAACCCAGGGTTTCAGCTTTGGCACCACAGATACAGGGGATTCCACAATTGTGTGTAGATAGGTAGCTGTCTTATGCATTATAAGGAGATGTTTAACAACATCCTTGGCTTCTACCCATTAGATGCCAGTAGCACTCCTAACAAATGAAAACGTCTTCAAATGGTACCATATATCCTTGGATGTGTGTGGTGAGGGAGGGGTAAAAATATACCAGTCTGCCTCTATTACCCCTAACTGAGGATCGTAGATCAAACCTAAGGACCAGGTGCTATTATATCACCAGTTCACAGAGGCAGAGATTGGTAGATTGACATATATATACGTATATATATATATATATATATATATACATATATATATATATATATATATATATATATGACAAAGCTAGGTAACAGTAACTGTGTCTCACACCTGTAATCCTATATCCTCAGGAGGCTGAGATGGGAGGATTATGGTTCAAAGCTAGCCAGGGCAGACAAGTCTATATGAGATTCTATCTCCAATTAGCCAGCAAAGATGTCAGACTGGATGTGTGGCTCAAATGATAGTGCACTAGCCATAAGCAAAACCAAGTCAGAGTGCAAGGCACTGAGTTGAAACAAATACTAGCAACAACAACAAAAACCCCATGTACACATGTGCATCCATGTTTATACGTGTATATATTTATATGCATGTATATATATGAATATATATGGACAAATTCACAGATATACTCAATGCCTTCAAAATATATGCAGAACATATACAGAGCAATTTCTGCTTTGAAATTCAATCAAGACATTTTAGTTTCCCAATAGGTTTTATTTGAATCATTTCAAAATAATATTTTCATCATCATCTTCATTGTCATCATCATTCACATCTGTGTAAATATCTATGTAACCATAATTCCAAGCCATCCATTAATTCCATGAACTCTGCTCAAATCTCCCTGATCTAAGGGATTTGTTCACATAGTATTTTGATAACATCCAAACATGTCACAATGGAGACTTAGAAAAGTCAACAACTTCTTCTAAGCCTTCTGGTAAGGAAAAGTCAGTGATAAATTTGCAGTTCTGGCTGTGCATCCAAGGAGAAATGTTAGCTTACAAAGGAACTTGTCACAGTAACAGGACTCTGGTGACTTTTGCAAAGATGGTAACTTTAAATAACTATGAGTAAGACCGTTTGCAGTGCTGGAAACAATTGCTATACGATTATGTGCTCAGCCTTAAGCGGAGGCTTAGAATTGGTGGGGACTGATGCTATTCTCTCTCTATGGCAAATGCCAGAGCCGGTCACAGTGGAGAGATGATTCACAGCTCTGATTTTCATGATGCCCAGAGGATATTTTAAATGATTGCAAGGAGAGGCCTGGCTGTTCAGAATGAGATTAGCAAAACAAGAATTAACTGAAATCCTTTTTAATGATTTTTTTTTTTGGAATACCATATATACCATAGAATATTTTGAAGAGGTAGAAGGGAAAGATGCTTTGATATCGAAGTGTGCTGGCTTAATTCGAGGGCATCAGAGAACAACACAGATCGGAGAGGAACGTGGGATAAGGAGGTAAAGGCACAGACAACATCAAGATTGAAGCCACTTTCCTCACTTAAATGAAAGGAATATTTCCTATTCTTGACACATGAGCCAGTTCTGAAAAGTGGAGTCAGAGCTGGAATTAAAGTCACATCTGAACTAAAATGTCCTGTCTTAGTGCTAACTTCAAAACTCTTTGTTTTTCTAAAGCTTACATTATTGAACACTTCGGTAAAGTACACTAAAACCTAAAACCTTTGCTGTGTGTGTGTGCTATTCTTAGTTTGTGCAATCACGGTACAGGCATTTTAGGTTCAACTTCTAAGATGAGCTCTGGAGCTTTCCTGTCCTGCTCTGAAGATGCTTTTCCCACACTTGATTCTGCTACATAAAAAGTAAAGAATTCAACAAAAGAAAAGATGGAAGAAAAATACCTACGGAGTGGAGGGATTTTTTTTTATTATCATTATCAGTAAATAGAATTCGTTGACTTACATTGATAAATCACATACGTTTTGAAACATGACCACACTTTATCTGCAGCCGAAGAAAAAAAATAAAAGATCTCAAGGGCTTTAGAAAATGCTTGACTTTCGTTGGAGGAGCATAAGGGTACAAGAAAAGATGATGGTGCTCTAATAGCCCTTTTTAAGAATGACAAGGCCCCACTATTAGCATCCTTTTATATCCTTGGAAATTGCTCATGCCTCGCTTTTCTGGTTCCTATCTGCCTGACTCTTTTTTATTTCTCTTTCAATTTCGTCTGCGCTCGGATAAGCGCATGCTAACACAATATGATTGAGCTGTAAAATGGAACGCTGTCGCCTCTAATCTCCTTTATGTAGATACGGAGCTCCTGCACACTCGACTTCATTCTCTCCCCATTGTTGGCCTTTTTCTTTTTTTCCCCCCCGAGAATGGGCTGTAGAGTAATGGCAAATATCAGAGCTAGGTTTCACAGGGTGTGATAAGACAATTATCAGCCCAACAGTCAGATCTATTATTGTTCTTTGTGCTTGATTATAATATTATTATGTACTGGATCTGGGTTAACAAAATACAAAATGTGGTTAGTCAGAGGGTGCTTAAAAATGCATAACCCATGTTAGCTAACCTCTATAAGTGGTTTAAATATATTTGTGAATCTTTCCAGATAGCTTACTTTAAAAGAACAGAAAGGTATTTCAGCAACTAAAGGAATAATTGTAGGGTTGAAAGCATTTTTCCTTTTTTAATATAACAAATTCTTAAGTTTCCTTGTTTTCAACATGAAGAAGACATGGCCATTGCTCCAGTTTGGCAAACCATTGGTCATGTTGTTAAAATGTTGCCTATTGTAATGGCACCAGAGAGAGAGAGAGAGAGAGAGAGAGAGAGAGAGAGAGAGAGAGAGAGAGAGAGAGAGAGAGAGAGAGCCCTATAATTTTTTCTTATAGCAAGAAAAGGGAAAGATATCTAGCTCTAAAAGAAAACTACACTATGCAGATAATACAATAAACAGTCTTTAAGTGTTTTCTTTCATGTAAGAAACATATCTAAAACATAAAAGCTAA